CCAGAATTGATCAACAAAACAGGTGTAGTGTTTTACCACGATAATGTCAAATTTCACACAAGTTTGGTAACTCATCAGAAACTGTTATAACTTACATGGGACCTGCTATCACACCAACCATATTTGCCAGATTGAGAACACTCAGATTAATACTTGTTCCGATCTATACACATTTTTTTTAACTGTAAGACATTTACTTGAAATGACAATGTCAAAAATCACTTGGATCAGTTTTTTGTAAGCAACGATCAAAACTTTTATGAATGTGAAATCATGCTACTACCAGAAACAATGACAACAAGTATTTGACCAAAATGGTCAATAAATAATTCAAGAAAATATTTATTTATTATAAAAATATTGTGTTTTTTTCCACGGAAAAAACGAAATTACTTTCCGAGCAACCCAATAGTTGCTGAGAACTCGTTGAGTGATTAACTCCCAAGTGTGAAAGTTGACAGTAGTTTAATAAAATGGTATTGTAAAAAAACATGTAGGTCATGCTGTAAATAAACAAGGTTGAGTCTCACAATTCCATTAGCAGCTTGAGACTTCTTGATATATCTTTCATAGCTAAGATTGTGTCTACTGTAGACCTGTTCAAGCCATACTTCATAGCAACATCAGACATCTTGTGCCCACTTTCTACCTTGGCTATTGTCTCTTACTTGGTTTCTACGGTGAGCACAGTTCTTGACACTCATTGTTTTAGGCTCCATAATAGTATCAGTTTCTTTTTTAAATAAAAAGTTCAGAGAACAGAAATCAACTAGCCCACAAAAAATTATTTAAATGCAAGGCCTGGATGAAATTTGAAATTTGGTATTAAAACGTTAATGAATATCTGATGAGACAGTTAAACTTTCAGCTTTTGTAAATAAACCCTGACGCAAAACTTAACAAGTGCCCGTCTGACAGTCTCGCAAAGACTATAAAAAAATATTTGTCAGAAAGGTAAACAAAAAGCTGGAATTACAAGGGAGAGTTTCAAAATTCAAAGGAATACTATCTGATCGGTATTGGGTTGAGTGTCAATGTTGATGTCTCCTGTGCTCTGAAAGGTTTTGAATTGTTACCTGAAGGCAAGGGAAAAATCAATTGGTATTCGTTATTTGCTGTCGTTTCATTTTATGTATGTTCAGTAAAGTGTTCGTTATCCAAACATGTGTTCATTGTCCAAAAGTGTTCATTATCTGATTTGTTTGCTATCTGAACTGTTCGTTAACTGATCACCCACTGTACATATTAATTTAGGTATAGTCTTAGTCCTCTCCTTTGTTCTTTGTTTCTTCCTCTTTCCAGAAATTTTCTTTCTAACTCTTTTCCCTTGAGTGGGATGACCGATTCTTGGAACCACGGAGAACAATGAAAGAAAAGAGGCCCTGGGGCTGGTGAGAGGAGGAAAGGACATTCTTGGTCCAGATCTCATGGTGGACAGACGTCAAATGTGGTGCTCCTGGTCTCAAATGGAAATGACTGAAGAATTTGAGAGAGTTTGAGAATTGGAATTTTATTGTAGTTACGATAAAAAGGTGTAGTAACAAGGTGCCAGGAGAAACTCAGTGAAGACGACAACATATAGACTTTTCAGAAAAAGTTCAATATGATATCCCACCCGAAATTGTGAAGTCCAGCAAAACCCCGGGTATTTCACTCCTTATTGTGTTCTATTTTCCTGGATCCTCTTTTCTCTATAATCTTTTTCTTTTCCCTAGTTTTAAGTTAGCACATAAGTACTAGTCATAGTTTTCAGTCACTTTATATTTGTTGCAAACAGTACATTTTGTATTGCGAACTGAATTATTGTTTGATGCCATATTGTAATAAATTACTGCAGAGTTGGAATCCAAAAGAACCTGTTCATATATGTGAAATAAAATACTTTGTTTGACTATACTGTCACTTAGTTATTGTTACATTTTTTCCTTTGTTGATCTACATACATTTTGCATAAACATCACAATAGGAAGTATAGGGAGTTGACCATCTGGCTATCTCTTGCCAGGCAGCTTGTTTGACAACTGAGTTATTGTATAGCAACCAGATCAAATATAAGTTCAATTTTTTGTTCATGAACAGTATTGTTTGAAAAGTGAGATGTTCAAACCCTGAAGTTTGACTATATTTTTATAGCAAAATACTGAAAGATTATGAAATACATTTTTCATAAACAAATATTTATTGCTTATAAATCATTTTTAGATATAAATAAATAAAAACAGAAATGGCATTTTGTTTTCAATTTATTTAGAAAGTAAATTTTCAAATATACTTAACTGAAATTTGTTTATTACAATGAACATCAATATCTAAAACATAAAAACACACCTAAAATTGCTACAATAGTAATCAATATTTGGCATATTTTCATCAAAAAGCAGAACTATCAGCCAAAACTATCATAAAATATCCAAAACTTACAAAAAACTTTTTATTTTCATCAAAAAGCAGAAAGCAGAACTATCAGCCAAAACTATCATAATTTAAAAATTAATGCCAACAAATTAAAAATTAAAATATTTTTAAACAAATGTACATAATGGTTGCATTTACTGTATTAAGTTTTAAAAACTATTGAGGAAGATGTCTGAAAACAATGTTTAATAAATTTTACATATTATTGAGTAAAAACTGTTTTAATTGATTGTTAACTAATCAAAGATATTTTCAATGTTTTCAAGCACTTTAATCATAATCTTCAGAATACTAATTTATACCTATTAAGGTAGAGAAACGTACTAAAGTTACAAATTTGAATATATTTAGACAAATAAAAGAATAAATTTTAAACAGTAAATACATATAAATAGATAAAAAAAATTGTATTCTTATTAATTTAAAATATAATCATCTTATATTTTAAATTGCTAATCATTACAATAAAATATACTTTTTTGCTTTAAGAAAGACAACTGACTATTAGAATAATGCTTAAATTTAAAATATTTTCAAAACAATAAGTAAATTAAATTTATTTGACAGGCATTGCATTCTTTCAAAATTTAATGATTTAATCTTGTTGCAGTATTAAACAAAATAAAACAAATATTTATCTTGAGATAAAAATATAGTTGGTTTTTTGTTTTAATCAGGTAATTACAGATTAAAATAACCTGCAAATTAAGTTAAAGCCAAAGATTTGAGTAACTTTTAATATTTTATTAAGTTATTTTATACATTCAAGATAAACTAGTATTTAACTTAAAATTATTATTATTTATAATCAAACTTACATCCATCCATATTAAAAATACATCATTAGGCATTTCCTTATAACTTTCAGTTTCCTTGATCTCGTCGTAAGTAAACTTTAATAAATTCATTAAAGAATTCACTCGATTAATTTCAGTAGTTGGTGCTAACTCCTGTTGATAAAATGAAATAGAAAAACTAATCAAAATAACTTAGCAAATAATTACATAATGCATAATTTTCATAGAAAATTCTGTTACCTTGTTAGCAATTTTTTTAACCATAGATAAAAGAGGAGGACAAAAATGATTGAAAAGTCCAATCAACCGATTTTTATGTTCTGTAACAAATGCTGGCAGAGTATTTAACCAAGATTTAAATAAAGTTTTCCATCCTAATCTTTCTGGTTCCATATGTATCATTCCACATCTTGAAACCTAATCAATTTTTAAGATTAAGTGTTTTAATATACACCTAACCCTCAATTTATATGATAGATTAGTTCTGTAAAAATTTTGTGTAAATTAATATTGTGTAAACTGAGATTATAAACATTTATACAGGAAATAGTAAATGGATGTCAAGGCTTGTGTTAGCTTCTTAGATAAGGATACATGCACAGTTTATATTCACTTAATTGAAACCTTTTATTAAATTGTCAGAATAATAATGAAAATACTACACTGTATAAGCAGGCAATATTCAGAAAGAAAAAAAAACAGAAGTAGATATGTATTCTGCTTAAGTAGACAAGTAAACTAACAGAAACTTGCTTTTTGCTTGTCCAGAAATTAAATTATTAACAAGCTGGAATAATATCCACTCAATTATTTCCTACCTCTAGAATCTGTAACCCAATCTGCATCAACAAAGAAAACAAGTTCAGATTCTCATCAGCTGAAATCTTTAAATTTAAAGTCTGTTTAAGGTAAAAAATATATCATTCTCATAATTGCATTCTAGTTCCTCTGTCAATGATTATTTACTTTCCTGCACAAAATTCCAATTTCAGCCACAATATCAGGATGTGTAGCTATAGCAATATACAATAATGTTTCCATTGATTATCTACATGTATCATTATTTGACAAAAGATCACTATCATCTTCTAGTCTAGAGTGTTCACAACCATTGGCATAATTACTCCTTTAGCCTCCTTTAATCAATATTGTGAGGCCCTGGGCTGGGATGAAAAACATTCTTTTCACCATATATCCAAATAAAAACAAATCTTGATCTTCGTGATTAATTAAAATTGAGGGAACTAAATTATAAAGGCAAAGAGGGAAAATAAAATTATTTTAATATTAAAACCATGCAAAAAAACGAAGAAAAATTAGTAAATTAATATTTTATAAGACAAGACAAACAAAAAAGAAAATGTTAGTTAAGGTACAAGGTTCATTCAACACCAAATGAAAGATGGTGTCAAATTGTATTAATAAACAAAGACCAATCTAGGACCAAGAAAGGGGATTATTAACCAATAAAGTAAGATTTGTGATCATCCTGTATACTATTTCTTTAATATCTTTGATCATCTTTAAATTTTTCTCTTCTCTTTCATTACTTTTTATACCTTAATATGTAAATCTGTTTTTTTACCACACATTTCAAATACACATCTAAGTCATTAAAAATTTTTTTATATTACTTTTCATAATAAAACTTATTCCCAATATTGCTTAAATCTACCTTATATTATATACAGGTTTATGTAGCATATAATTTTAATTGCAATTTTTATAGTATTAATACATTTGATATCATAATTATTGAAAATGTATATCATTTTTTTTTAAAAAAAAAAAGCTAATTTATTAAATAATTAAAAATATATAACTAAATTTTTTTTTCTCACAATAAACCAAGTGATAGATATTTCTAAGTTATTTATATTAAGTTTTAATTAAAATTTCATTTTGTTGAATAATTATATTAGTTTTATAATCAATATCATAGGTAAATTCTATGGAAAATAGTCAATTAAAATAATAGATATTCATACAAAATGTGCTTAAATTTAAACTTTTAAACATACTTTAGGTCAGTATCCATTAAAAATTATACTATACTTTAATTTTTAACTATACTTTTCAATAGATATTAAATTTAGAGTCTCACTCTATTCCCCAAATTGATGCTAATAAAAAGTGATTTAAGGACAATAATGATATTAAACACAATGTTTGCAGCAAATTTAAATAAGTTTAAAAAATATTTCATACAGTTGTATAAATGACCAAAAATGTATGTAGCACCTATAAGATGTTTAGCAACCTTGTAATTTGAAGTAGTTTAATTCACAATTATATCATTGTTAATTAAGCTTATGATTATTTTACTTAATTTACTTACAGTTGCCGGTGAAGCAGCTTCAAGATCCATTGATTCAAATATTAGGTTAGTTTGTGCAGATAATTTGATAATTTCACCACTTGTTAGACAAAGTTTTTTGTTATCATCTAGAACAGTGTTCATGTTTTCAATCCAAACTGCATCTACTGGTCCATCAAATACTAACCATTTTCTATTAGGATTCTACAAAAATGATTTTAATATATTATTATTTATTTCATTCTAAACAGTAGCACAATCAAAAATTTAGAAAAGGGGCATATAACTAAAAAATTAATAAGTATCAAAGTTATGTGATAAAATGCAACATAAAAATACACAAATTATATGCTATTATATGTGATTGGTTTATAGCAATAAAATCATGATATAAATAATAATTACATGAAATACTGAACAAATCTCACACACAAGTTTGAGTCAAAGGGAAAAATTTTGTTCTGTTACAAATATTCAAAAACTATGGATTGCACTTATATGATGACTACTTTAGTTTACTTTTAAACTTACGTATAAACAAATCTCAATTGTTATAAAAAATGGATATTAGTAGCAGAGGGGGTGCAATCATGCAATTGTTCCCTTGCTTTCCCTGTGCAAGGGAACAATTACATGACTGTGCCACTGATTCTAGGATGCATCTTTGAAATAAACAAATAAATGTTTTTAATAAATATATTTACCTTCATAATTTTATTAACTTTAATAATAAAATCAGAAAAATATAACATTCTAACTGATATTTAAGAATAAAAAAAAACGTTAACAGAACAATATTTAATTTAAAATACTTTTATTCTAGACTATTCTCAAAGCTAGATAATAAACTATTTTTTAAAACAACGTGTTTATTTATTCATTAGGACAGTGTTGTATTATATTCACTAAGAAAATATATACCAATAATTATAATTTTAAAAATTTTTACCGTAGATGTTGCAAATTTTCTAAAATTCACTGCTAACACTCCATCAGACCATTCATGGGAAACTGGTGAAAAATAACCATAAAGCTGATCAATAGTTATTGATTTTGGATTTATTACAACAATATCAACAGGCGATTTCTTATTCTGTTCCTATCAAAAATAAATAAAAATCTCTTAAAATATAAGGACAACAAAAAATATCTGCTATATTGAAGTTCACTCCATAACAGTTTTTTCTCAAGCATTTTCAGGCAATCAAGCTGTCATCAAAACACACACAAGTGAATCACAGCCTACCAAGTTCCAATAACATATTTTTTGTATAAAACATATATTCTGTAATAATTTCTTATTGTAAACGTATTTATGTTTAGATATTGTAATCACTAATACTTGACACTATTATTGTCAATGATAAAATTTATTTAAAATGCTTGTGTAATTATTAATGATGCAAAAATAAATAATGGTTGTTTTTAAATTGCATTAAATTTATTTTACAATTTAGACCAATAATATGTAATGATTAAAAAAACTGGTAGTAGTAAATTAAATATGTATATAAAAAAACTAAATAATAATTGGAAAAAATATTTTACTTAACTTTACTTAATTCAGTAGACCCCCCCTATAATGCAGGTTCATATAATGCAGATTCGTATAGTTCACATAATGATAGATGCCTGATGGATTGGTCCTTTGGTGATTTCCGGAACGGGTACTTTCTGTGATCTTTGGAGGGAAAAGTTCGGTTGGGCGTATAATAAAGTCAATTCGCTGCTCAGGTAATCCAAAGCACTCACTAAGGTGTCGATAATTAGGTAATCCAATCTGGGTTCAAAAGATGAAGGAGTAGGAGGCAATAGGCACAAAATTCCACTCAGGTAATGTTTAATCTCAAAAAACAGTCAACTGCACCGTTGGTAGGACAAAGGACGACGGCCTCTAAGATTGGTCTGTTGCTATATTCAACTGACAAACTTACAACAATAGGTCGTGATATTGTGAGAAAGCATCTTTTTATTAGGCTGTTCAGAAAGTAATTTCGTTTTTTTTACCACTAGACAGATTAGTCGTATTTTTCCCACCATTTTTATTCTAAACCGTATTATCATTATATATTTTGACATTTTAAGGCTTATTTGTAAAAAATTTTGTTTGATTTTGTGCAATTGTTTATTTTTTGTGTCCCATCAAATATGGAAGATCAGAAGCAGCATTTTCAACATATTTTCCTCTTTTATTACTGTGAGATAGCAAAAAGTCTTATATTTGAAATAATCTTTAATAATAACGTTTCGCGAATTACGCAACAATTGTTGTTCTTAGCTACCTGAGAAAGTCTCCCGTTACATTTTCTCGAAAGCAACATGACGCTTTCTCGTGAACTATTAACCTCTGCACGGCCGAAATCGTCCGTGAGTATCATCAGAGACGGCCGAAAAGAGTTAGTCGCTGCCTTAGTCCTCGGAGAGGAAAGCCGTCCCTTCAATTATCATCCATTAAGGAATCCGAATTAATCGCCATAGGATAAACTTGTCTGTGTGTGTGTGTGTGTGT